TATTACTGTGTTCTTGAAACAAAGCGCAGAGATGAAGCTGGCCAGACACCTACAAGATTGTACACACATACTGACCGGGGCTTGTATCAGCACCTATATTGATGCTCTAATTGGGAAGCGTACTATTGGAACGAGTCCTTAGAAGCAATTCTTAACAGCTTTTATCAGAATATTAACTCAATTCATGACGTCATTGCACCTGAGAAGATTCTTAGCTTCAGATTCCCCAAAAGCGATCATATTCCGACATCGTTTGGGATAAGTCTACGAAAGCACTCAATAAAATACATCAGATATCATGACTTATCATCATTAATTGCTATCACGTCTCTTCTCATTAGAATTCAAGAGTTGAGAAATATAAGCCTCAGAAACAAAGAAATGCGAGCCATTCAGTCACCGCATAGCCCAGGAGAAATACCGAAACTTTTCAAAACTAGGTTAACAAACTACAAAACAGCCTGTTCAAAAATAATATATACTTGGTGAACATTGCTTACGAGAATACCGGGGTGATATGGGAACTGTTTAGCAAGCACTTCGCCAGATTATACACCTTAGAGAATGATGAGGTCGTGGATTTCCCACGTAAAACAGACGAACGTCTAAGTGACATACTTTTCACCACACGAGAGATCTATAAAGCTGTCGCTAATCTTAAGCTTAGTAACACTATTGGTGTTGACGGTATATTTTCCATTCTGCTGAAAAGCTGTGGTAATGACATGCACTTACTCCTACTCAAGTTACACGCAATTTCACTAAGTGACGGGACATACCCTACCTGCTGGAAGAAGTCTTGTACTTTACCCATCCATAAATACGGGCCTATATCTGATATCAACAATTACTGCCTCATCAATCGTTGTAAATACATACTGTCATTGAAAAGTTTCAAGTTGCTTCTTGTATATTTCTTGTAAATGCACTTTCAATGATGCAACGTCCATAATTATATTCTATGCTATTTCGCAGTTTCCTAGGACGTTCCTCTATTCTTGAAGTAGCTTCTAAACAGGTGGCAGCATAGCACTTACCCAAATACACCCTGTTCACTGATTGACTATAACTATAAGCATGAAATGGAATGCATTTTGGGTTGTGGCTCAGCTCTGATTGTGACTTTAGTGAAGTGTTTACAATTTAACATTTATAGGAACCTGTTGTGATTGGTTGTACAGTGATCGAACAATTCAAACTTTTGAAAAGTATTAATCTGTGATACTCCACGGTTGTAATTTATAACATAATTTATCGTGGCTGTAAAAATGGCATGCATTTCTCGTAAACTTACTCGTTTATACGAAATATAGATTATTGTTATTACGAGGTTCTTGACTACGGTAACGTAGTATGTGTATTATTTTTTTTTGATTTACAGCTTGATTCCACACCGTATTTTCAGTACAAGTATGGAACTTTCAGCATGGATATCGGTAGCCCAAATTCAGGCCGACCATAGATATCGGGTGTGCGCCGGCAGGGGATCGAACCCCGGACCATGTGCATGGTCGGCGAGAGTCCTAACCACTGTGCCACCGACGCAGGTAATAGAAGGACAATAATAAAGCGTCTTCCACACCCATTCATAGAAGGGTGGGCTAGCCCGGGAAATAAGCAGATTTCACGGATTCAATTCAATCAAATGTTGACTCCTTTGCTAGGTTGCCAACACATCGTTGTCCTGGCCTGAAGGTATCCAACATTCTGGTGGCCTTATAGGAGACACTGCACAGCAATACAGCTAGGAATAAATTGAGTTAACCCAATTGCAACTAAGTAAACCTCTAGATCACTCGATGCCTGAGTTGTTCCAAGTATTTTTTGGTAGAGAAAAAGATACCTGATTTGCGGTATAAAATGATATCATTCTATTTCACTGGTTTCCATCAGCTGCAAACTACGTGAAGTTTTGGTGGTTATAAATGATAAAATTTCATACTTCAATGTTTGAGTGGTGATAGAGAAAGCGTCATAAGATGAACGCATCCGGAATAAAAATAATACCATTTTTAGTGTAAGTTACCATCAATTTATATAATATCAAACTATAAAACAGGGGGTGAGAGAAGACAGAAAGCAGAAAATTCAAATAAACAGTGTTAGCTTGTACGTCTGCATGGCGAACCAAGAAGGTTAAAGTTCATCGGATTGAAAATTTGCTGAGTGAGCTTATCTGACTAGTGTGTATGACTAATTAGTGTAACAAAAGTAATACGGTTACCAACGGAGTGAGAGAATGACTACACTCTCTGTGTGCATAATTTTTGTCTGAGATATTTGATTGCAACTGCTTTAGCAAATCGTCGTAGGTTTGCTGTCCTTTTTATGTTTAATATTTTGAAGGATTTGGAAATCTCGACGAGATGATCCGTATCCACAATGACAAATGCTTGATAACAAATCATCTAATTCTTAAAAAGTGAAATCGTCATAGAAATACGAAAGTAACGATATAATTTCGGGGGTGCTCACGCTAAAGTGTAGTAAACAGAAATTGCCTATCTTACATCTAATATGTCTCAAGGCATCAATAATCGACACCTTAAAAATAAGGAGGGATAAAAGCTTCAAAGGGCGCAATTAATAAATGATATACAAATGCACAAGTCACCACTTGCTCTGTCTGAAGGATAATTTTCTAACCATTTGGTATTATGTTCACAGATTCGCAGCACTTGAACGGAGGAATCTGAAAGTCTGGCCATGTTCCACTTTGTTTTTCACACAACTGCCGTTAACTGCCTTCATATTTGCATTAAGAGTTGGGTCTTTTTTCTTCATCTCACTCATCTTTCCTAAAACCATTATCAGTTATTGAATTTCAAGTAGCTTTTTAAAAAAACAGTAATTGAAAAGTGGGTAGAAATGTAGTGGCGTGGCAGAAAATGTTATGACGGGACACACGTGTGCTTGACACCTCATCTAAACCGACATTACGGCCAATATAAAAATTGGTGTTTATGTTTCAGCGACAATACTTACTTCGCTTTTCATTGTCTCTAAAGGGTGAATATATAAGAGAAGAGTGATACTTCTGTGCGGTAGGATGACACATGTATCAACACAGCGTAAAAACTAAAACCAGATTGTCATTCTAACTCGGATTCTTAATCGTCAAGCATTTGAAAGTCATGAAATACATCTTTCATTTTTACCTTCCGAGTGGCACACAGGACTTAGAACTTGAGATTTGAAGCTGCGTTATTGGTGGCCCTGCCTGTTGGCCAGAAATCAAACCTCGGACCTCTACAGAAGCTGACAATCATTTCACCACTGAACCACAGACAGTGATGAGATACTATTTACTCACAATAAATAATACGTAAATGAGTAAAGCTGGAAGCAATAGTAAGTATTGAAGGAAGCAATAACTGTTATCTATAGAGCACCTTGGAATCTGCCAACATGAGATACCAGTAGGATATGGAAAAACTGGCACATGTAGCCACCAGTCGGACAAATCAAAAATGCTGCATTTTCGTGAATCTTGATCGTTGTTCACCGTGCTGCTGTTTACTGTTGCCATCTTCACCAGAAGATTACCTAGTTTCCCAGTACTACAGCCCATGAATCTTCGGACTGTCTAGTAGTGCAGCATAAAACGTTAACACAATTGAGTCCTTTCTGCTACACTCTCACCATATTAATGTTCATCAAATAGAATTAAACTTCGACTACCTAAGTTGTGATAACGATCACTAGTTGGCGGTCAGTCAACTATTCAGTGATCGTTGCGAGCATCCTGCTGAATGCATATTCCTCTCAACAAGAGTTAGAACATTTTGAACATTTAGAGGCCATTTAATACTCAGTTTAATAAATGTTTGTGTTATTAGTTCCTTCCTATTTATCTTATAGGTTAATGGATTTTAGGTATAGGAAGCCACACGAATGGATGAACACAATTTGGAATGTGTATGTATAAGGTGAAAATGTTATATGACGTATATTGTCCTCCAGCCAAGTTGTATTCACATTGTACTGAACGATTAACTACTTCCAGGAAAAACCAGGAATAAATATCTAATCATTCAAAAATGAAACAATTGTACTAAATCAAGACACATGCGCAGTCATTCATGTGTCATTCGCAAACTAAAGGATGATAATATAGCACGCTAAATAGTGTGAATTCTTCTGAAAGGCTTTCAGATGAACTAACATCATAACACTATACGTTAGCGCATGAATAAGGACATTAAAAAGACGGAAGAATATTAGTTATAGGAAATTTCACAGTTGAAGAAGACCTGCCTTAAATGGTGTTTGTATGCAATGATTCTTGGTCAGTAGAAAATGATTTAGTGTCTTTTAACACAATCCAGTCATTTAGTTAGCTATGGTCTCAGATTTCCTTGATAATTGGGTTAATTTAATGTAGAGTGAACAAATTTATACTTGGCGTTTCAGAATTGACAGCTGAAGAATAGCTTCAACCAAGTGAATCAGAATTGCGGATAGTGTTTACCATAAACAAGGATTCTTCTTTCACCCATACCAGTGTCTCCATGTGTCACAGCTGTTTTTACGCGTTATTTGAAAGTCTGAGTCCAAAAACAAAACCCTGACAGTAAGAGATCCAGCCGGCTGTGTCAAAAATACAAATAAAACCGAAAAATTAAGCTTGTAAGTGTAAGGCAGATGACATCTGCCTTGAGAATGTATTTCTGCTACCATTACTCCTATGCACTCCTAACGTTTTCAGTAAAACACAAACCTTCAGCAGCACATCAGCATTCCAGTTGTCTCTCTGCTATCGTCTTAGGTTGGTCTCAATACTATCCACAAGCTGTCTTTTCCACCTGATGTAGTTATCTCCATGCTACACGTGAATACTGCTTCAGTGCTTCCCATTTAAGTTCCACTGAAATATACAGGAAATAGTGCTTTAACACTCAGATAATCGTGGGAAATTTCACTTAAGGTAGAGTCCAAACAATGACTGAAATGTTCTCAAACTACTTAGCAACATGCCTTGGACACTAGGGATTGATCGTGGGTGTTGAGAAACTATTACGGCAGAAATTCAAAATGCTGAGTCACTCAGTGTGTCACTGATGTTTCCAACATCAGGGGTGTTTCAAGAGTTTTTGTGCCCATCACTCAGCGAAGGAAACTGTGGTAGACCATATTGTCATTTCAATCATTTTAATATGCAGAGTCAGTTAATCACTTAGCAATCATACTGTTCAAACTGAAGTTGATCTTTTATTTGTTATGTTGGGGTCATCCGCTAGTGGGGCGAAACACTTCACTGTTGTTTTGGATAAAATAAATTGCTGTTATTTATGCATATGGAGTCACCTTATGTCTCATCAAGTATATAAGCAGGATCACAAATAGGTAGACTAGAAATTAATGTGGTTTTTTCTATTGTATTCGCATGGAACTAATTAGGCGAATAGGTAGAAGTGAGGTTCTTTGAATAACACAATGATTTGCACGTGGTGATATCTTGTTTAATTCGATTGTAATAGATTTAGAAACCCTCCGGGCCATGTCATCTATGTTTCAAACATCGTATATCGCATGGACAGAAGATAATAGAATCAGTGCTTCAATTCAGTGTGCTTTCTAGAATGCTTTTTGTATAAAATGACTCAACATTTCTGACAGGTTTCAATCGCCTGATTCAATAGAGATAAACAGCCTCACTGACTTCCTTAAGCAAGTGGTGTTAACCGGGTTAATAGTCTCCCTAAAAAGTATTTAGGTCTTGGAAAATTCATTTGTACTTTAATAATTCAGGCCAGTTATCTTGTGCCTGTTTCTGATGCTTTTATCTGGAATACACGTAATCTCTTGATTGCATACATATTCTGCAATTGGAGACTTAAGTCAGTAATGTATTTCCTAACAGTTTCTCTATACCAACACATGTCAGAATGACTCCCCGTCTCTTCCTAGATTTCTAACATAGCTATGGCTGGGGAACTAAATACAAACTGATCTGCCTTATAAGCTCTGACGAAGTATCAGCACTGACCATTTCTGGAAAAGTGTGTGCTATTTCCCAGATATGAAGCTTGCTATGCCGGCTAGTTTCACCGTCATATATACAGAGCTTGTAGCTGACAAGCATAGACCACAATGCTTATTGTAGTTACCTTGTTTTAAAAGTGAAGAAATTTATTTACATCGCCTAAAAGCAGCATGAGGTGTATACCATCATTGTTAGGTTGACATTTATATATGAGTGAAGTTCATCTTAGTTCGGATCTGTTAACTTCAGGTGCATTTTTAGTGGGTCTTTGCAATTTTACTGAATAAGTACTCCATAAACATCTACTGAGTCTCAAAGAATTTTGTTAATAGAAGAGCGGAATTAGTACCTTTGTAACCCCATACACTTTCTTTTAAAGTAGCTGCTTAAGAGTTTCCATTGCCCTTTGATAGATGAAAAGGGTGAATCTTAAACCGTGTGACGATTTAGGCCGTTTTATTTGCTATCAAGTCCTCCTGCCATTTTCAGAATGAATGATTAGTACTACCGGGGATTTAATGTTTAATAAATGCTTTTGCAAGAAAACTGCTTCCTACTAATTATGAAAATTCTTACTGAAAACATTCTAAAATTTTTATGGTCGTCGTATTTTTCTGCCTCGAAGTAACCCTCAACACTAAACCATGTGTGACTACATGTGTACATAATTGTAATAATGCGTAGAGGCATAGCAATTCTGCGTCCCCAGGTCTGTTTTAGGTTTCTATCAGTGATACAAACCGATTCACTCCTTTAAAACCTTGTAGTGATTGCGCCTACGTATAGCAGTGGTCTAGCCAACTCTCCGCTCCGAATTCAATGAGGAGCGAAAGCTGTACGAAAGGAAACTTATGAAAAGTCTCCACAAGGACCGTGACACAGTGGTGGGTGACAAAGGCGAAAGAGATGAAAAAAGCATCGGCGATAGGCAACTCTTTAGACTCGTCAGGGAAACGGGTGGGAGAAGGCAAATCATAAGTGAAACTATTTCTGAGATAAATGGCTCTCAGGATAGACGCCTTGAAGGCTGGAAAGAACACTTTGAGGAACAATTTAACTTGCCTACAGCCACACTGAACCTCCCCGCCATCCAGCACACACCCGAATGGGATATAGACACTGGTCCGCCGTCTGTAATTGAGGTCACAAAAGCTATCTGTAATTTGAAACGAGGCAAAGCGGCAGGACCCGATGGAATTATTCCGGAGGTGTTTAAATATGGGGGTGATATACTAGTATGTAGATTAACTAAGGTACTAGGTAACGTCTGGGAATCAGAGACGGTTCCATCAGACTGGGGTAAGTCACTTATTATACCGATATTCAAGAAGGGAGACTAGTCCTCATGTGATAATCATAGGGGTATCAGCCTAACGAACATAGTTTCTAAAATCTTAGGCTCAGTAATCATACACAGACTAAGCCGAACTCGGGAGGGAAAATCAAACTGGCTTTAGGTCAGGTAGAGGGTGCATAGATCATATCTTCACTCTCCGACAGATCCTAGAACAAAGACACTTTTCGGCGTCCAACAATTGCCATATTTCTTGACGTGAAGGCGGCCTTCGACTTCGTGGATCGAAAGGTACTATGGCAATGTTTGACTGTGAGGGAAGTGCCAAGAAAGTACATTGCACTAATCAAGGCACTCTACTCAAACTCATGTAGCCGTGTAAGGGCTTATGGGGAATTGTCACCTGAATTGATAACAACCAGTGGTGTCCGTCAAGGATGTCCACTTTCCCCATTTCTGTTTAACTTCATCATAGATATGCTAATGGAAGTATCCTTAACTGAACTTAACGACTTAGGAATCGACTTGTTACCAGGGAATAGTATTATGGACTTAGAATATGCAGATGACATAGTCCTGTTAGGGGAGGATGCTGACAAAATGCAGAGTCTTCTGAACACCTTGAGCAGCAATCTTCGTATGTTTGGCATGCGATTCGCCCCTGTAAAATGTAAGATGCTGCTACAGGAATGACTGGACTACGTCAACTCCTAGTTTAGTGATAGGGAGTGAAGTGATAGAACATGTTGACCACTTCACCTATTTGGGAAGTTGTATCAGCATCAACGGACTGATTGGCGACGAAATCTCAGCACGTATCCAAAAAGCTCGGGCTGCTTTCGCTAACTTACGCCGTCTCTGGCGTAGGCGTGACATCCGGCTATCAACCAAGGGACGTGTGTACTGCTCAGCAGTTCGCTCCGTCCTTCTCTATGGCTCTGAAACCTGGCCAATACGAGTTGAAGACATGAAAAGGTTGACTGTTTTTGATCATAGATGTCTACGATCTCTTTCTCACGTTAGGTGGTATAATAAGGTAAGTAATGTTGACGTTAGGCGTAGAGTGTTGGGCAATCAATCGACGAGGCTATAAAGTTACATAGATTGAGATGGCTAGGTCACGTGCTGAGTATGCCTAACCATCGCCTCCCCCGACGGGCATTACTAGCTGATATAGGTGCAGGTTGGAAAAGAGTAAGTGGTGGCCAAACAAAAACATGGCATCAATCCATGAAATCCTTGACAGTTAAACTGAGTCAGTCAGATAGGGAGATGCAGACTTCTGGGTTGGGGCCCTCGGGACTCTAAGAATCAATGGCTGGAGACAATGGGTGACATGGCTCAAAATCGTTGTCAATGGCGCAGATGTATTCAGTCTCTTTAACCTTCATATTCCTTTCTACCATTACTCATTCTGTTTCACTCTTATACTTGTCAAAACTCTATTGATTCTCTTCACTCATCTTCTTGTCTACCTTTGTGTGCTATTTGGAACGTGGCAACTAGAACTGCTGCACTTCGGTGCCAAGTTCTATGTTGAATCCAGACAGAGACAGACACATGCATTGACTAGAGGTCGTTAGTGGTTCAGACTCATTTACTCCTGATTACACAGATTTACTAAGCCCTCATTATTCTCCATTTAGTTTTCCTTTCTGCAACGGATTTCTATTTACTGTAGTATCACTAAATTTTTCATTGTCTTTTTGTGCTTTTGTGAAGTCTGGTGACTTAAACTACTGCACTTATGTGCAAATTTTTGCTTAGAATATTCACTTCAGGTCGAATTCAATAAGAAATACAGATTAATAAGGACTATAAAGCTTGTTTTAAATAAGGGAGACATTCAACAGTGGTCGTGTTATCAAGCAGAGCAGTTCTTCATTAAGGGAGCTAAGTCAATTAGAAAGCTATTTTAAGTATTCTAAAGGAATTTCGCTCTTTTAAACTCTCATCATTTTTACTTGATATCACCGGTTATTCTGTTAGAATTCTGCCTGACTCAAACCACTCAGAAATAACCGCTAAAATTCCTCAGAGTGTTTTGATAAGAGAAGACGCAGTTTGAATTCGATGTTCTTAACGCAGTATATAAATATGTGAATGTTTTCAGCCTGTATTTCTCATCTGCCCGGTGTAAATGGATATAGGATTGAGACGCATTAGATTTACGGATGTTGGGTAACATTATTGAACTGTTCAACAGTTTCAAGTAAATGGAAAGTTGAACTATCCTTGTTCGCTTAATTAGTTGAGGATATTAAAGAGAGATTACTAACGAATTTTCAATATGGATGCAGAAGACTCTTCGTTATATATATATATATATATATATATATATATATATATATATATATATATATATGTATATATATATATATATATAATACTGTCTTTGACAAAATATCTCACTGCATATCACACTATGCTATTTTAGACACAAACTTAGTATTTAATTGGTGGATGGTGACTAGCAGTGAAATCCAGGATGCCCATTTCGTCCTATTTTGGACTCGTCATCTGGATGCACCTGCATTTCTCAGTGAGTGATGATGTTGCCACCGAGGCTCGAAGCCAGTGCCCATAGTTTCCAACGCCAAAGCGTTATCCACTAGACCACTTGGGCCACGAGAACCACCTCTTGTGCAACGGGTCATATTGATTTAATTGAATTTTAGATTTTTCCCGTCGATTGATTGGACCAAAGTGCTCGGTCTCAGGTTGACATGTCGGCTTCTTAAGCAGATGCTTCGACGATGTCTGGCCATTTAATTAGTATTTAATTGGTAGATGGTGACTGGCAGTGGAATGCAGGATGCGCATTTCTTCCTATTCGGGACTCGTCAGCTGGATGTACCAGCATTCCTCAGTGAGTGATGAGAAATGCAGGTTCACGCTAAATATGAAGACTGGGATATTCCATATTACCATGCATTCACAAGTATTAGAATGATGTTAAGGGTAGTTGAGTTAACGGGGTATATCGATGAATGAATTCTTTAACTGCTGATATGAGCTATACAGGAAAGTGCAGGTATAATAACTTTAACTGATCCATTCTTGTCTTAATTTCCACCTCTATGAGTCAGGTATGAATCTCTAAGTGTAACAACCAATAGATCGTAACCTTTAGTTATTATAAACCAGATATCTTCAGAGTGCAGCAGATCCAAGAACTTTTTATCACTTATACTTTAAACAGTCACCAATCTTCATTCTCACATCTGTGCCTTATTTTGTTAACTTATTTCTTTTCATTGTTATATGCAAGACTGTATTTTAATCTGCAGATCTGGAATAATGTACTCGGATTGCACTGTTTGGAAATCCAATATGTAAACCTTTAACCCACACCGTAGTTTACTGGAAGAGGATAATTCAGTTTTTTTAATTACAACGTGATTTGTGATACATGTCATCTAGGTATCTGTAACAGAAGTTCATACCAATTTAATTAATTTTTTGGTCACTAACAGCTAATTCACTCCTTAAATTCTATTTTCTTCTAACTCATTGTTATTTTAAATTCTTACTCGATAATTTTGTTTTGAACTAGTTATAACTCAAAATTGTTAATTCAAGCTTATGTAATTCCAAATAGCGTCACCATTGTAATTAATTGCTTTGAATTTATGTTTTGCAGATCTTTCTGAAGAAAATATTGTGGCATCTGGGGTAATTTATCTATCTTACTTAAGTTTACTGTATTAGAAACCATGCAAACCTCCTACTGATCCAGTGTACAAGCCAACCCCTATCAGTATTTTGGAAAAACGTACTAATAATACAATAGACCACTTAAATGTCGAGTATTCTAAAAGTCTTGACTGTCCACGGTCTGTTTTTGAAGAAACGATCCCCATTTACCAGCCAACTCCGATAAGTGAACTGGAAAGATACGCACCCAATTCACTATCAGACTATGGATTGACAAACGGCTTCATTACTCAAGACCAGCCATCTTATTCTCCTGTAGTGAAAATCAAATCTTTGAGAGCTCCGTCTGTTCCATTTTTGTATCAGCCGTCGCCAGCAATATCACAGTCGTCCGCTTTTTCCTATACTAATGAAATTATTGATATTAAACTTGATTCAGATGGTGATGACGCTGTTCCAGTTGTTACTAAAAGTGAATCTGATGTATCGATCAAACCCGTGGCTAGCGATGCCCAAAATTTGCAAGACACTCAACCTACGAATCACCAGTTACCAGTTCGTAACAGGAAGTTAAAGCGTAAGATAAACTACAGTAAAAGTAAGGAAACAAATGTTGCAGATGTAGAAAGAAGTACAGGCACTAATGATAAAAAGTCTTCTGATGGCTCAAACAAAGATCATGGCGGTGATGGTGACGACGATGATGATGGTGAAAGTACACTTGCTAAGCGTCAGAAGATCCTATCACTTTACCAAGACTTATACGGCGACACGGATAACAACAACCCTGATGATAAAAACATGATGACTAAGAATTCCGTAAAATCCCCTCCACTTATCCCACCTTATATGGGTCCTCTTATAAAGAAACCGGATACTCCAAATACGGATAAAAAGTGTGACAGTGTAGGTCTCATTTTTTTCTTTATGATTGTGTGTCTACTGTCTATGTAATATCATAATCGTGCAATAGTATTTTTAACTCCTTATGAATGTGAATGTTCATGGACTAAATCTTTGTTGTTTTGTTTGATGGTTACTAGCCTTGGAGTCAAAGATAAGTATTTCGTCCGATATCGGACTCGTAAGCTGGATCTGCTGGCATTCCCAATGATTGGTGGTCATGAGAGCCACTTCTTGTTCAACCGGTATCAGTGATCTAGGGGATAATGCTTTGGAGTTTGAAACAATGGGTTTACGGTTAGAACACCGTTACTCTGTTGGAATACAAGTGTGTCCAACTGACGTGTCGTATATGGGGTGGACTGCGCATCCTGGATTCCACGGCTAGCCACCATCAACTAAAATCACATCACGTTAATCCTCAGATATCATCGAAGCGTCTGTACTAGGAACCGACATGTCAACAGAGATTGAGCATTTCGGTCCAGCGTAATCAACAGGAAATACAGATTAACTTTTAAAAAAACAAGTAATAAACCTTCGTTGGCTTAACTGCTTCAGAACATTTTCTTATCCAAATATCATTTTAGTTATTTTTCACAATTATATACTCGTACAATGTTCCATTCATCAGTAGATATGTGGCATAATCACTATTTGGGTTTTTAAATAATCTGATTTGCTGCAAGTGCTGTTGTCAAACCGGGATGCCTGCTTACACAAGCTAGTGATTGTGAACAAACAACTGAGCATAACAAAAGTGCATGTCAAATGGCAAGGGTGCTTGATCAACTACCTTCAACTCAGTGAGTGCACTAAATTAGTAAGGTTCAACATCCAATGTCACTGCATCTGTAGACCATTGATATTTATAAGACTATCTACCTTCACAAGGTGTAAAGTAAAATTTTCAGTAGGTATTAAATATTCACTTTATTGTAGTTAGACACTACACAATACTCGAAAATTCCATGGATTTATATTATCTATATTGAACCTGATAGTTTCTTATAGAATTTAACATAAATTATTGATGAGTTTTCAAGACCTTCTTTGATTGATACGTAAAGAACAAAAAGCCACAGTTGTCATGACATTTGCAGCAAATCAGCCGTGTGTGCATGTGTTTGTGCGTATAGAATTCTTTGTTCTTTAGGTTTCCGCAAGTTAATTTAGCCAGTGTGCACAAATATTCCTCCTTTTGTATTTATTCCTTTACGTTCCCATCTGAACATAGGGCTTCAAGCTAGAGCTCTGAAGTTTCGGTAGCAGTGGTGTTTATTTTTACGGGATGGGGTTGCTAGTCTCATGCCGAACCTTCCTTATTTACCAGTCTTATTACTGGCTCTTATCTTCATGTAATTAAAGAGGATATATTAAGTGAATGAAAGTCATTTTGAAACAAAGTGATTTGCATAGTTTTATACAAACACTATTAAAAGTAATAATGCTTTGAGAATGTGTGTATTTGGATACATACATAAACTGTTATAATTTATTGTCTGTCTACAGTTTATATATGTCAAATGTTCTCCTTCTTCATTTTAGTCCAGTGTTGCAGGAAGTGTACAAATTGAAAATATTGTCAGACCTCGTGTTCCACTTCGTAAAAGTGACAAAATTCCTATGCCAATCAGAACTCGTTATTTAGATCAATTTATCGAAGAATGCTTGCTCATATATGAATGTCCTAGTGATGCATACAAGCGTGTAAGTTTGATTTTATTCAGAAAACAATGCACACAAAATAGTGGTTCTTTTCTTATTGAGAGTAAGGTATGTCTTAACTGTCTATATTTAGTTTATTGAATTTCCTGACTAAATAAGCGATTTAGCCTAGTTAGATAAATTTATACAATAAACTTATATACATATAGTGAAACAAGTTGGAACTTTAGGAAAACACGGAATTCATGGGTATGTGAATGTGTTCATACGATTCAAAAGGCTATCAGTGACTTGTAACACAAATTTATGTTACATTTTAAATCTTGTTCTAGTGAATTGCTGTGGAAATTTTAAATCTCTGTTACTTAGATTCGTTTCATCCTTCACTGTTATTTTAATGGTTTCAAGAGGCATTTTTCTATATCTGACATATTGTGATTGCTGTTTTAGGCCCTCGAAGATGAACAATCATGTCATGATAAGGCAACAAGTCGTATGGCCTATTTAAATGGTGTAATCCAACGATTGAAATCTTTAAAAACAGAGAAAACATCTGTACAGCTAGGTGAAAAACGAAAGCTGTCATCGAACACGACTACACGTCCATCGAGTAGTTCCACTTTGAATTCACGGTCTGCTGATACCCATGATTCAAGCAATAAAAAGGATGATCCTGAGGAAAAACTTGACCGTTTGGTTAGAGGTAATAAATGTGTGGTTAATTATTTTATTCTTTTGTCCTTTGAATATATAATTACTTCTCAGTTCCTTTCAACACAAATAAGCCTTACGCATATATGTAATTAGTTCTTTATCTCATTTTTCCGATAACCAATGAGTTGATCTACATGCAATGGAATGGAAGTTGCAATTCTATTCATTCGGTAATGAGCCATATATATATATATATATATATATATATATATATATATATACAAATCACCTATATATTAGGAGTAAACCTACGCACATCCTAAAGGTATTCTGGAAGTCATCTATCCCCTGGTGATGGTGCATTACTTTCATTACAGTAAAGTAAGAGTATTTTAAGGCATTCACGAATTATAAATTTGATAGGAACTGAAGATGAACAATTTTTTGTTCTATTAATTATACTATGTCGGTGGGTATTAATTAATCTTATATTAAGTTACATTTCTTATAAGTTTATTTTTAATTCTTTGTTTACCTTCTGTAAAGGTCCTCTTCTGTATAATCAGCTGACTACATATCTATTGTCAGAAGAAGACCTACGGACTAATGGTTATCCTCGTGAATTGACAGAAAATAATACAATTGTTCGGGGAAAGGCGGCTTTATTTATACCACAAAACAAACAGCAGTTGTATGGTACTTGTAAATGTAAGTATTATCACTGTAAAAGTAATAATGGTCGTGAAGCTAACAACTTCACCCCTTAAAAGAACAACATCGCTATTGAAACTTCAGGGCTCTAGCTTCAGGCTCTATGTTCCAAATGGGACACAAACGCCTGAGAAATAATAATGATAATAATACTAGCAATAATAGTACTGCAACTAAGGTACCTGATGCAGGGCTTCTCTGTGCACTAGGCTATTATGAGCTCCGCTGTTTGCGTTGACAGTTTGTAACACAGCCTGGTTGCTTGACTTGAAGTACACAGAGCAGGATTTTTGTTTGAGTTGTATAATTAACATGTTCTCAGTTTTTATTGGTTGTAATTGATGGATACAAGTGTCCATTCCAATTTTCCGTATATTAAATTCTGATATATTTAATAGTATATTAACGATTCCCTTATTTCATAATGTGATAAATTCTGTACGCTGTCGTTATCTTTTATCTGTTTCAGTCAATATTACATGAGAAATTCATTGTGCTACTTCACATTGATATCTCTGTACTATTGATAGTTTTGACGGATTTTTTGTAGTATACCACAATGCGCATATCTTCTGTATGCTATACAATAACTGATTTACTGCACTTGGAATGATTCATTTTACTGAGTTTAACAAACCTTGACTAATCGATTTGTGCACATGATTCTGACGTCTGTTTCCTATATGAATGAGATGAAAATTGAACTATGAAGGACTTGTTTCCTCAAAACTTTCAATTCTAAGGTGACACTGACAAAACTGCAAGAGAACGCTCATGGGAAGTTCCGTAAGAATGCATTCAACACCACGGAAATTTGTCCTTCCAAGTATAATCATTCCTTGGTACGAAAAATTGGTTGGATAACCGTTAAACTGAAAGCAAAGTGTATATCTACCACACTGCGTCAATGGCATAGCGGTTAGGACACTCGCCGACCATGTACATGGTCCGGGGTTCAATCCCCGGTCGACGCACTCCTTTACCTCACTAAGCCAGAAATAATGCTGGTGAAAAGGAAAGGTTGGGCATGAGGCTAGCAACCCCATCCTGTAAAAATAAATACTGCTACAGAAACTTCAAGCCACAAGCTTGAAGCCCTATGTTCCACTGGGGAACGTGAAGGAAAAAAAAAACAAAAAAAAACCCACACTGTGTTGGGTTTCTAAGGGCGAAGTGCTGCTGGTGAACAGGGATGTAAGAATAGTAAGATATTTCTGTCGGATGGCCAGCAAGCCGTATGTACTACGGTTTGCCATCAGCTCTAAGATCTCCATACCGACACAACTCCAGAGAGCATTTCAAACGGGCCGTGTGTGACTGACCTTAAGAAGAAATCAATTTCTATGGTGTGGAGACTGGAGAAGTAATAATCACTCACACACTTCCATAAACGCACAAAGCTTTTTCAATCATAGTCCACCATCGTCTTACTCTCCTGTCACAGCTGATACTATTCCACAAATAAGTCCTCAACCTTCCTGTAATTCTGCGACCGTTGATAGTCACCAAAGCATCTAAAGCTATGTATGTATGTTTTGTTCCAGAGACACATAGACGATGTAACTGTGGTTATCGAATTTACCTCGTCTGGCCAACCTGTTGTATCTACAAAATTCACTTTACGGGTGTCAGGAGATTCTTCGGCTAGTTTGCGTGGATTTGCTGGTATAATATGAACTGAGACAGCTTCGACGCGTATTATGCATACAGTGCTATCGCATGTCTTGTCGAGCAGTGTTTGTCAGTGCAGCAGTACATTTGAGAGGAGTTGGAGGTGTTCAAATCAAAACGTAGTATCAGCCCACGAAGTCTTTATCTGTTGGTTTGAGGCAGTCACGTAGGAATGTGTAGACTGTCTGGTTGGAGCCCTCAGGGTGCTAAGACACGATGGTTGGAGACTTGATGGAATGGTTGGAAATCGTTGTCATTACCACAGATGTATTCACTGTCTGTGAACTCGCAGATCCCTGAAATCCCCATTATTATTCCTGAAATTATATTCTCCCACCAAGATATTTCTGTTCATTATAGTTCCTTTAGATCCTTTTTCTCTAAATTATATGTTCTTTATGAATGAAGCAACTTAAACTGCTGCACTTCTGTGCAGAGTTCTACGTTGAATTAATATCAGTAAAAAGATTGAGCATTTTGGAATCGATCAAATAAAGTATAATTATATTTCAATGGTTTACACACAATGATAAGTTTTTGTTTTTGGTAGTATTTCGAGAGAAATTACTGCCCGTGTTCACACCAACTGTTGGAATTGTTTTGTTTTTTAATACATACATTTATGATTTGTACTCATATACATATAGTTCATTGTTTGTTCATTCATTTTGTGTATTCAGAATTATATTCCAGGTAGTTGACAGTTGTTCTGAGTCACCCTTGTCTTATGTATCCGGTGTGACCTTAATGAATAAGTCTCCCTTTTCATTTGTTCATATTAGTTGTTATCCACAATATTGGATATTGTGAATTTTGTCCCATGCATGTGCAGCTGTAGACGAATTTCTTTTTCGAAACTGTTTTAAGCTTGTGTTCTTGTTGGATGACTTGTAGTTAGGCGTTTATGTTCATTCACTCATGTTTTGAGTGATCTGGACGTTTGACCCACATATTTAGTCGGACACTCGGCACAATATATTTTGTAAAATATATTGTTTTTATCCATCATTCTTATTGCATCTTTCAGTTGATTTATCTTATGTTTAATTAGATTCGTCTGTTTAAACGTGGTGAGAATCCCAATATTTTTGAGGTTTCTTCGAATTTTCTCTGATGTACTATTTTTGGGGGGAAGAGAATGCACTTAAACCATTCAGGTCATCAATAAATTGGTGTTGGAGATATGTATGCGACACGTTAGAAATAATGAAAAAACGATGTCGAGAAATTCTTCTCGCACATAAACAGTCATGTCGACTCAATGAAATTCACTATGAAAATAGAGAATGAAATTTGGGAACTGCCTATGTTAGACTGCGGAATACAAAGAGTAACAGACGATAGCATAAAAACGACGCTGTATAGAAAAACTGCACCTACTGGAAGGTTCCATGATTATCACTCAGCTCATCCACTCACGGTGAAACGAGGATTAATACAAGGTTTGCAGACAGAATACGTAGACTTACAACAACACCAGATGATCAGCGAAAAGAAATAAAGGTCCTATTCAAAAAGAAAAAAGAGAGTAAAACCAGAGGATGACAAGAAGGAGGAAGTCAAAAAAGCAATCACAATACCATACTAAAATGGTATATCAGAGAAAATTCGAAGAAACCTCAAAAATATTGGGATTCGCACCACGTTTAAACAGATGAATCTAATTAAGAATAAGATAAATCAACTGAAAGATGCAATAAAAATGATGAATGAATGAACATAAACGCCTAACTAAAAGTCAACCAGCAGGAACAAAAACTTACAACAATTTAGAAAAAAATTCATCTACAGCTGCACATACATGGGACAAATACCACAATATCCACTGCAACCAGCTTGCATTTTTAAGCATACTTCTGAGTCGAAGAGATGATGGTTTAATAAGACGATCAATTTACAGAAAGTCCAATTGGACAGAGCAATACCTTAATTTTCACAGTCTGTTCAATTCAATAAAAAAGAGGCTTGGTGAAATGTGTTTATTTAAGGGGATTCAACGTATTTGCACGACTGGTGGTATAGACAAAGAAAACGAAATATTGAGGGATACTCTTGTTGAAAACGGATATCCTTAAAAATTGTTGAGCAGGTGTAGAAGTCAATTAGTTTTTAAATCTACAATCTATACCGGCCCTAAGAAAAACGTTTTCATTAAGTTACCATATAACGGGGAAATAAGCAGTAGGATTTTGAGACAAAGGTTGAATTCGGTCATCCGTAGGACCTATTGTGGTGGTGTGATACAGACAATGTCTGCCAACGGAATATTGTACTCACATAGTCCCACAGTTCAATAATGCGTACAATATATCTATCTGAACATTCTATTTGATGCTAGAGAGAATACATTTCCCATGGTTATATACTGCATTAACAAAAGAATACTATGCATATCTGAACATTCTATTTCATGTTGTTTGGTGTAAACCGAAATCAAACGCTCGGTGATTGGTTAACGAATATAAACTGTAGATAGATAAACAGCGGTTTGATTAATGAAAAATATAACCTAGGCTTTCGTGTCTTGCCTTCTTTTGTTACACTATTATGCAGCCCAGCTTGTAATTATCGAAAAAGCCAAAAATATGCTCCACTGCAAACCTCAAAAGTGCACACTTGATTTTCAACCACAAGCTGGAGTAACACTGTAATTATCTAAGAATGAACAAATAGTTTGCTTCGCTAACATTTTCTAATGCACAATTGATTTGAGCCTTAAATTATCACAAGAATTTGTACTTAGTCGATTAATTCATTGTTAACCTTATTACTAAATGTATATATATTCTTTGACTAGGTATACATGTTTGAGTTAATATTGCTTTTTGAGGTATACAATCTCCACATAAACTGTCATCTATTGTAATGTGAAAGTATTTTGTCTGTATTGTATTATTATCATTATTTATTCTATAGCTAATGAACGAGTTTGTTGCCGATGTGGTACACGATTTCTAGTTGATGAATTTGGACACTCTCTAACTAAAGGTGAATGTATCTATCATTGGGGTAAAGCTGTTAAGCAGAAAAGTAAGCTCCTATCATAAAATTATTTTCTCTATATTTAAATTCTAGTGACTATATTTTCTTGGCAGGTTTTAAGATACTGATGATTAGTGCAATTTAATAAAATTCGATCAAAAATATAAGAGAGTTAATTCACTTGACTCCCAATGTTTGTAGAACTGTTCGGTCAAATCTTGATCAGAGTTTGTAGAACTCTAAGATTTTGCTTAGATGAGTATTAGTTCAATAGAGCTTCGTTCAGATCCTTTCTCCGTCTTGTCCACCATTACTTCATTACATAAACCTAACATTTCCCCACTTTCTCTAAGCCTTTTACAAGTTATCGCTGTTTTAACTATCTGTAATTGTCTCACACGTTTCCTTCTTAACTTTTATCGGATGTTCAATCCAGTACTACATTTTTATGCATATTGTCACTCGTACAAGCTTATGCATTTCAATTCTATTGGTCTAAACAATTCGGTATTACTTGTACAAAAGAATTCAATTTTGACAATAGCAACTACTCTTTTAATATATAATTATTTCTATGCATAACCGTAGGACCAGATGAGGAGCTTTTCGAAAAGAGTATACTTTGCTCAACCTTTCTTTTTTGACAAAAGACAAGTAGTTCAGCAAAGAGTCTCTTTTCGGCGAATTCATTTTCAAAGCTGTACAATCGCAAATATACATGGTTATTTTGTGTGTGTGTGTGTGTGTGTATACATTAAATTTGTCAAACGACAATACGGTTAGTAAGTTCAGGTGAATTGGATGTTCATATAAGAGGATAGTAACAAAAGTGGTGAGTTGTCATAAATGATTGTTAAATAAGAGTTACGCAATGGCATGAGTAGTTTGATGAATGAGGTGTACTCAAAGGGTGTACATGGAAACAAAATAATATACAGAATTACACAAGGGTTTTAAGTTAGAAAAATAAGCATACAAACAGAAGTAAGGTCAAATCAAACAAACAAGAGTTGGGACAAATCAACGGAGTTGTTACCATGCGAGTAGAAGTGGTTGGATGATTTTCTTTTGTATGCATAGTTCTGGTTCCACCAACTGGATGGCTAGGGCTTCTGCGATGCAAAGAAGACGGAATCGTACTTTCTTTGGGAGGTTGTTCTTCACTTTGTAGATCACTTTGAAGGAGGCGTTCGTTGAGATGGAATGACCAGTGTTGACGAGATGTTCGATTACTGCACTCCTTATATGGCCATTATTTCCTTTCTGTAGCCATGCTGGATAGTGTTCTTTGACCCTTTTTGACAGGATGCGCGTTGAACGACCGATGTACCTGGCTCAACAGCAACAGGTGAACTGATATATACACATAGAAGTGGTCATGTGTGGAATCTTGTCCTTTGGGTTTCTGCAGATCAGCGGGCGATTGGAGAACACTATTCTTAGTGTTGCCGCAGGGAAAGTTCTTCCTGAAGAGGTGGAAATTCTCCTTCTGAGGACTTCACTAAGTAGGTCTCCTTTGAAGTTTAGGTTCATATAAAGTATCTTTTTTGGCACGGATGGTGTCTCTTGCTTTTGGTTTTTCTGTTTGATGTTTTTGTCTACAAATCTTCGTGGGTAGCCATTTTGTATGAAGATTTCCCCCAGGAAGTTTAGTTCTTCTTCCATGGTGTCGGAGCTGCAGATGCGTCTGACGCGAGTGGCAAGGGATTTAATTAGGTTTCTTTTCCGACTGATTGGTACCCAGCTGTAGAAACTTGTTAATTGTCCGTTATAAGTCGGTTTCCTATGGATTGACCTTGCCTTGCCACTCGCGTCAGACGCATCTGCAGCTCCGACACCATGGAAGAAGGACTAAACTTCCTGGGGGAAATCTTCATACAAAATGGCTACCCACGAAGATTTGTAGACAAAAACATCAAACAGAAAAACCAAAAGCAAGAGACACCATCCGTGCCAAAAAAGATACTTTATATGAACCTAAACTTCAAAGGAGACCTACTTAGTGAAGTCCTCAGAAGGAGAATTTCCACCTCTTCAGGAAGAACTTTCCCTGCGGCAACACTAAGAATAGTGTTCTCCAATCGCCCGCTGATCTGCAGAAACCCAAAGGACAAGATTCCACACATGACCACTTCTATGTGTATATATCAGTTCACCTGTTGCTGTTGAGCCAGGTACATCGGTCGTTCAACGCGCATCCTGTCAAAAAGGGTCAAAGAACACTATCCAGCATGGCTACAGAAAGGAAATAATGGCCATATAAGGAGTGCAGTAATCGAACATCTCGTCAACACTGGTCATTCCATCTCAACGAACGCCTCCTTCAAAGTGATCTACAAAGTGAAGAACAACCTCCCAAAGAAAGTACGATTCCGTCTTCTTTGCATCGCAGAAGCCCTAGCCATCCAGTTGGTGGAACCAGAACTATGCATACAAAAGAAAATCATCCAACCACTTCTACTCGCATGGTAACAACTCCGTTGATTTGTCCCAACTCTTGTTTGTTTGATTTGACCTTACTTCTGTTTGTATGCTTATTTTTCTAACTTAAAACCCTTGTGTAATTCTGTATATTATTTTGTTTCCATGTACACCCTTTGAGTACACCTCATTCATCAAACTACTCATGCCATTGCGTAACTCTTATTTAACAATCATTTATGACAACTCACCACTTTTGTTACTATCCTCTTATATGAACATCCAATTCATTTGAACTTACTAACCGTATTGTCGTTTGACAAATTTAATGTATACACACACACACACACACACACAAATAACCATGTATATTTGCGATTGTACAGCTTTGAAAATGAATTCGCCGAAAAGAGACTCTTTGCTGAACTACTTGTCTTTCTTTTTGCTTTATGACAATTAATTGGCAGTGGGAGAACTTTAAAATACTTGGGATCGGAAAATAGGTAATAATAATAACCTATACAGAGGAGGCGCAGCCTACTGGACAGGAAAGTAAGAAGAGGAGCAGACATTGGCTCAGACCACTATCTCGTACAAGAGACAATCCAAATCAAATCAAAAGCTTTCAGAGAATCAGGAGCTGCAGATGGACCACAAGCCAAGTTCAACACTCAAAAACTGAAGGACCAGGACACAAAGGACATCTTCACTGCAAGTATAAAAGGCAAAGCCGAGACACAAATCAACACTAGCGAAGAGGTCAGCGTCGAAAAGCACTGGAACAACTTGAAGACAGTGTGGAGTCAAACCTGCATGGAAGTTCTAGGCAGAAAGAATAGACAGGACAAACAATGGCCCACTACGGACACTTGGAAACTAATAGAAGAGAGAGGGATGGTGAAACAAAACATTCTCCAATGCACCGACGAGCAACAAAAACAGGATTTGAATGCAAACTACAAGATACTGAACAAAAGAGTAAAGAAGAGCGCCAGAGAAGAGAAAAGAAAATATTATGAAGCCATGGCAAGTGAAGCAGAACAAACTGCAGGCAAAGGAGATCTCGCAACACTACCAAACCACTAGGTACCTATCGGGAAAAAGTTCGACACAAATTAAGCCGGTGAAGGATGACAACGGAAAGTCAATCATCAAATAAGTGGAGCAAAGGAAACACTGGGCTGAACACTTCAAAAGACTCTTAAATCGACCACCACCTACAACACGCCCAACAATACCAACAACGGAGACAGAGCTACCAGTGAACACCAACCCCCTGACGTAATCAGAAGTCCTGAATGCAATCAAGATGCTAAAAGCTGGAAAAGCAGCAGGACCAGATGGAATCCCAGCAGAAGCACTGAAAACGGACCCAGAGACAACAGCGGACTTGATGGCACCACTACTGGAGAAGGTGTGGAAAGAAGGCAAAGTACCAGAGGATTGGAAGAAAGGATACTTATTCAAACTGCCAAAGAAAGGAGACTTAAGTCAATGCAAGAACTGGCGCGGAATTATGCTCCTGTCCATCCCAAGCAAAATACTAAGCCGCATCATCCTGGAGAGAATCAAACATGCCAACCTGGATGAAAAACTTCGACCGGAACAGGTTGGATTCAGGAGAAACAAGTCATGCATTGATCAGATCGCCACGTTACGGATCATCATTGAACAAAGCTTGGAATGGCAGTCACCTCTCTATCTCAACTTCATCGACTTTGTGAAGTCCTTCGACAGCGTCGATCGAGAGGTGATTTGGCAACTATTACGCTACTATGGGGTACCACCGACAATTATACATCTCATCCAACAGCTGTACGACAATGCTGCATGCCAAGTAATCCACAACGGGAAACTCACGGAATCCTTCGAAGTGAGGACAGGAGTAAGACAAGCTGGCTGCCTACTATCGCCAATGATTTTCCTGATTGTGGTAGACTGGATAATGCGACAAACAGTGGGCAATGAGGAGACAGGCATAAAATCGACCCACACAGAAAACTTGGAGGATCTGGTCTTCGCCGATGATATATGTCTGATTTCCCACAAATTGGAAGATATGCAAGTGAAAAGCAACAAGTTGTCAGAAGAAGCATCTAGGGAAGATAGGACTTCAGGTGAACATAGAGAAAACAGAGGTGCTGAAGATTCCTGGACAAGAACAACAACAACAGACAACAATCAGCATAAATGCGAGGAATCTGAACGAAACAACCTCTTTTACCTACATGGGAAGCATCGTCTCAACTACAGGCTGAACTGACGAGGATATCAAAGCGAGGATCGGGAAAGCAAGACAAGCTTTCATTACTCTCAAGTCTGTGTGGAGGTCAACAGCACTCACCATCAAAAATAACATCCGGATTTTCAACTCCAATGTGAAGTCAGTGCTACTTAACATACGGATCAGAGACTTGCACTGCGCATCATAAAGAGCACCTCAAACAAACTACAGACCTTGATTAACAGTTGTCTTCGCTCAATACTTAAGATCAGATGGCCGGCCAGAAAAGATCAGCAACAGAGTGGGATCTCTGAGAGCGAACCAACCAAGAACCGATTGTGAAACAAATAAGCAGGAAGAAATGTAGGTGTATTGGCTAGCCATACTCTGAGGAAACCATCAAGTGACATCACTAGACAAGCCATTGCTCGAGTGGAACCCGAAAGGGAAGCGGCGAGTTGGTCGTCAATGCAAGGGTGACTTGGAGGAGGTCATGTGAAGAGGAGATGAAAACGTGTGGGCAGACTCGGATCCAGGTGAAAACAGTGGTGGAGAACCGAACGCAATGGAGACGCACGGCTGAAGCCCTATGTTCCTGTGGGAATTAAAGGAAACAATAATAATGATAACACAGAACTTAGTTCAGTTGAGCGCCTGAAGTCTGTTCTGACAAACTGAACATAAAATTATGACACTGAGAGCTATTTTATCTGAAAACGAATATTCCAATAGGTTTATCAATACGTATTCTAAAGAAATGTTAGTCAAGGAAACTGTAAACACCGTTTCAAATAAAGCTGAATAGATTTGTTTATTACCCAAAAGACATGATATGTAACAAATAGTTAGGTGAGAATTTGATAAAGCTATCATCAAAATTGATTATGCTGCGAAACTTGTATTCTTTATCACCACCAAGTGTGTACTTCGATAATCTAAGAAAGACTGGTCGCCAATCTTCAAAACTCGTAACTGTCTCAAACCGAAAGACAAGTTATCTACTTGGATGATGTGAATGAAAAAGCATGAGGATAAAATACTATGAAGGTCATCGTATAAACTGTGTAAATGACAATATATGTGTAAAACTTGGACACTGTGGTAGTAAGTAATTCCATATTAGTTTTTTTATTAGATATATCACACAGTGTGAAACAGTATCATTTACTGGATGACGTTTCGAACAAAATGTATTGTTCATAATCATTTCATCAATCATAATCACACGACTTCGAAACTTGAGTTTTATAGTTTTCTTTGATCTCTCCTATTTATCGTCGTTGGGGTAGTCGAATTTTCCAGATATCTGCGACAGGTGTTAAATAATTCCTATGACACGTGTTTGCAGTTAATTTGATAAACAAAGCTTCTGTTATCAATCTCTCCTGCCCCATTCTGTTACATTAGATTTTAAAACTGTCATCTTATTCCATTCTATTGTATGGTTGCGTGTAGTTGCATGTAGTGCTATAGACGACTGAACTATCCTCTAGATTTCTTATCTTATTCGGGTCAACTAATTTAGATTTCGCTAGGTTTTTATGCTCGGCTAGTCTAACTGACCCCGTTCTGCTACTTTGAACTATGTATTTGACCTGACAATCATTGGAGGGCATTAGATAAACTAAATTATTTTGTCTTGTTTTAACCGACGGTTAAAGGATCCTGTGGAGCCTTTAAGACAAAATAATTTAGTTTATCTAATGCCCTCCAATGATTGTCAGGTCAAATACATAGTTCAAAGTAGCAGAACGGGGTCAGTTAGACTAGCCGAGCATAAAAACCTAGCGAAATCTAAATTAGTTGACCCGAATAAGATAAGAAATCTAGAGGATAGTTCAGTCGTCTATAGCACTACATGCAACTACACGCAACCATACAATAGGATGGAATAAGATGACAGTTTTAAAATCTAATGTAACAGAATGGGGCAGGAGAGATTGATAACAGAAGCTTTGTTTATCAAATTAACTGCAAACACGTGTCATAGGAATTATTTAACACCTGTCGCAGATATCTGGAAAATTCGGCTACCCCAACGACGATAAATAGGAGAGATCAAAGAAAACTATAAAACTCAAGTTTCGAAGTCGTGTGATTATGATTGATGAAATGATTATGAACAATACATTTTGTTCGAAACGTCATCCAGTAAATGATACTGTTTCACACTGTGTGATATATCTAATAAACAAACTAATATGGAATTACGTACATGATATTCACGCTATCAAGTGTTGTTCACTGTTGTCATCAAACAAATCAACAGAAAGATGGTTGCATGTGTAGAGTCTCTTCTAATTAGGATGTACAATATCCAGTTGTCTGTGTTCAAAAGTAAATGGTGGTCACTTAGATTCTATCATAATAATATCTTTTACTTTTGTAACTATTGTTACTCTTATTGTTTTATTCCATCTATTATTATTCTTGTCTTATTTAAAGCTATCTTTTGTCAATATCATTATTTTAACTCGGTTATTATTGTTATCATTATTATTTATTTTTACAACGCTCGCTCTGATAACTAATAACGAGAATATTACAGTGACATAACTGAAGTGTAGTCGAACATAGTCTAAATTATTAATATCTCATCCCTCTGTCAGCCTCCGTCTATCTCAACTTGACCTATAACACTTTATTCACCTTTCGTTATGTCTTGTTTGATCCAAATATTAAAGGATAATGCATGTTGTTATTTTCTTATCTGATACATGGTTATTAGAAGGCTCGTTTGACTTTCGGCCGCATATCCAGTCATCCATCCTACTATGGTTCAAAGCATTATTGTGAAACATCTTAGCGTAAAATGTAGAAGGTAATATAATAGTAATACAAGAACGTGAAGATAATGTAAGTAGAACTACTGTTATTCCACCATCGTAACGCAAAAAAGCAGATGTAAAATGAATAAATGGGTGTGATATCTCAAGGATGGTAAAGGTAAGTTGAACATCACTTGCAATCTCCAACCCTCATTTTCCTATTATCTCTTTAAAACTAAATTTCAATTGTATTCAGTGGTTGAACAGAAAATTTGTGTATTAAGTTATAAGAAAAAGAAGAGGTAGGTAAACAGCAAAGAGAAGTTTCTTCTCGACGAATTGTTTTCAAGATCTGTACAGTCGTATTTGTATTTAACAAATATTTCATAAAACCAATCAGATATTGATAATTTCATTCCAGAAAATTTATTTCATAATGTGGGGTATAATCTAGAAGGCGATGACTAAGTGTGCAGATTTAAAAAACAGGGGTTAAATGTTGGTGCTGGTATTGCGTAATAAGTGTGCTTAGCCATCCTTCACACTTAGTATTCAGTGATTGATTATATTTGAAGCATGAACTGTGATAATAATGGCTTCCTAGTATTTTCATATGGCTTAGTAAATTCAATATCGACGATTTAAAATACTTTGTTTTAACTACTTTCGCCACATTAGGGTTACTTATTTTATGCATTGTATTTTTCCCTCACTTGCGTTTTCTCAATCCCTTTAACAGGTTTCGGACGAGGAATAGATCTTCGCTATTTATGTTGTAATGGTGATATAGGTCAACCAGGTTGTCAGATCTGTCCAAAAGGTCATGTACATGATGCTAATAAATGGTTGGATAATGAAGGCTTTGTTGTTACATTGCCACCTCTGCCTAAATCACCTGTATGTGAAGATGACGAAGATGCCTGTAATAATGTATATGCTTTAGACTGTGAGATGGTTTACACAACTGGCGGCTGTGAATTAGCAAGAATCACTATTGTCAATTCAAAACTTCAAACTGTACTAGATGAAATTGTATGCCCTGATAATCCTGTAATTGATTGTAATTCCCGATTTTCTGGATTAAGAGAAGAAGATATTGAAAAAGCCACCTATCATATAACTGATATTCAGGCGAAACTATTACATTTATTCGATTCGGATACAATTTTAATTGGTCATAGTTTAGAAAGTGATTTGACTGCCCTCAAATTGATACATAACAAAATTGTGGATACTTCTATTATGTTTCCACATCGTTTGGGATTGCCAAATAAACGAGCTTTACGCAATTTAGTTAGCGAAATTTTACAACAAATTATACAACAAGATGGTAGGTTATTTATCTAACCTTTTTTTTATTGTTCCACACATCTGAATATATTTTTATGCCTAAAAAATTTAATGCTTTAGAATTCATTGTCCTCGTAGAATGCTTATACTAGTGATATTCTGTTTCGTGATTACAGATTGCATCTATTGTGTGACTGAAATAATTGATTAAGTGGGTGTTTGGCGGGTAACCCTTTTTCTTCCGATTTCTAACGAAGTTTTTTTGAACATGTCCATTAATGTTCGGTCTGATTATCAGATTGAAGATGGTTATCTATTGGCAGTTTTGCGTTTATAGACAGACAAGCACCGAGTAACTTTTTCATTGTCCAAATCGCTACGCCGTATATTTATATAGCCAGTTGGCAGTAATAACACAACTGACTGATTGAGTTTCAACTTAGAACTTTGCACAGAAATGCAGCAGTTCAAGTTGCTACACTCACTATAGTACATAAATGTAGCTAAAAGGAAGGAACTGTAATAAGCAGAAATCTGAGGGAGAAAGAATATTAACATGGAGACTTAATTGATCTGCGAGATTACAAAGTGTGAATGCCCCTGCGCCATATCACCAACAGTCTCCAGTCATTGATGCTTAGCATCCCGAAGACCTCATTCAGATAGCCTACACCTTCCTACGTGGTTGGCTCAAGCCAACTGTCGAAGATCTCATGGACTGATTACAGGTTTTGACTTAACAAAACCTAACTCTTTTCCAATTCAAACGTATCTCAGCTAACATTGACTGTCGAGGAAGATAGTGGCTTGGCATGCCCAGCACTTGTCTTAGCCATCTCAGACGATGTAGCCTTAGACCTTCGTCTATTGACTTCCCTTACTAACTTAGCGCTAGGTCTAATCACAATACTACTCGCCCTTTCATACTAGTTAGCATGGCAGATATAACTCAGAAATCGGTTATCAAAGACAACTAGCTTTTTCGTATCTCCCACTTTCGATGCCCATGTCTCACATCTATAAAGGAGGATGTAGCGAACCGCTGCTCAGTACACATTATTTAATCGATAGCCGGATATCATATCTACTTCAGAGATGACGTAAATTAGAAAATGTCCTACGAGCCTTTTGTATCCTTATTGAGATTTTGAAAGAAATGAGTCGATTAGGGCTATGTAATTTCCCAAATAAGTGAACTGGCCAGCATGGTATCAATCTATCTGTTGGTGTCTGTTGGCGTGAGTCAGCCACATAGAACATATGGAGATATAGACTACCTAGTTAAGTTACACGAGATGCTAGAAACCACTTTCTTGAAACTGTTGGTGACACTGCTGAAAATCGTTCTCAATGACACAGATGGATTCACTCTTAATGAACCTGAAATGCTGCACTGTTTCGACTAGTTCGCACAGTGTAAAATTAGTCATGCTTGTCACGAGGTGATAGATGAATAATTTATCAATATATCCACTATCTGAGTAAACCTTGTAATTATAGATGATATGATTATGAACATTAAATTGTATTTGAAACGTCATCCAGTAACGAATAGTGTTCAACTCTATAATGTATTCAATGAAAATTTTCCTGGAGTTGAATTAACCCTTTCCTGTATATCAATTTTCGCGAGTTTTACAAAGTCTGTATAGCTTGAAAAAAGTCAGCAACTTGAACGCAACTGTTGGCAGACTAGTACACCAATGATTATATGTATTTCATAAATCACATTCAGATATACGCTCATTAGTAGGACACTCGATCTCTCGCAAATCCTCAAATAATCCCGAGTCCAAAGTCTGACAACTATCTATAAAAGTGTTGGGGAGAGTGAGTTATCGGTTGCCTTATAGCGATTGAGTACCACTTCCGTATCACAAGAATATTTTGACCACCAGACCTGCCAGTTCTTGTACATGTACTGTTGGCTTACATATGCAAGTCATCATTTTGTTATTGTACATGCTTTTGACCAAAATATATCAACAAACTTTAATATGTCTCGAGGAATTCGCAGGCTGTACACTATTCTAAGCTACGAACAACTTTGCCTGTCGTCTGCTTCACATCTCGTAAATGCTATCTATTCCTTCTGCAGGATCAGTAAGTAGCCTTACGTGTTATTTGTTATTCGTTCAGAGTAATAGGTTCAAGTGATTTGTTTATGTGAACGTATATAGGATGACGTTTATAATGACCAAGAGAAATCTGTCTTACACAGAGTGTGACCATAATGCTGACAAAGAACTGTTATCACATTCACGTCATCGGTAGCTAATGGTAATAAGAATCCATAATTGAGTGGTTATGGGACGACCTCAGGTAGTACAATGACGATAGCTATTATGCAATTCCGCGTTGACTAGAAATAAGTCTTAATTTGAGCAAAGTTGCAGATGATGGCATCCATTGTCTAATCTGTGATCACTTAGTGCCTGTTGAAAGCGTTGGGTATTTCGTTATGATCGCAAACGCTCATAACTTGCTCATCAAATTTCCCAATTGGCTCTGAGCACTTTAAAGCTCTAAAAGAACTAAAACATAATACTGACATCGTTATCCTCAGACCACATAAAGGGTCTGGTGTAGTCATAATGCACAAAATTGAATACAAAAGTAAAATGTTATGCATTCTTGGAAATAATGATAAATCAATGAGAGACTCCAGTCTGGAGGATGTGAAGAATGTACAAAATATGGTGACAAATAATCTAGTAAAACTCTTAAACATGAATGCGATTAACAGAGAGAAATTCAATTCACTAAAGCCCACGCAGTCCGAATTACCATACATGTATGGTCTGCCCAAAACACATAAACCTAACATTCCTCTACGTCCCATAATGTCAATGTGCAGATCTCCAAACCACAAACTTGCACAGTGGCTAGTGGAAATATTAGAGCCTATTAGAAGAAGCTTCTGTAAGTTCTCATTGAAAGATACTTTTGAGTTAATTGATTGTCTTGATAACCTTGATATAAAGGACAAAACCATGTTTTCCCTAGATGTTGAGTCTTTATTTACAAATGTACCTCTTTTACAGACGGTTGACATTTTATGTGATTACATCTCTGAAAACGATTTCCTATTACCAGTATCCATTTCTTACTTAAAAGAGTTACAGCTTCTTTGTACTAAGAATGTTAAGTTTACATTCGAGGGCGAGCATTATCGCCAGATCGATGGTGTTGCTATGGGAAGCCCCGTAGGTCCATTGTTAGCTGATATATATATGTCGCATGTCGAGAACCTAGTGGAGAAAAAAACTGGAAAAGTTTATTTTTATAAAAGATATGTAGATGACATAATAGTCATTTGTGATAATCCGACAGACGCCGTAGAAATCCTGAACCGGATCAACAGATCACAAAACAGTATATCACTAACATACGTTAAGGAGAATAATGGATGCCTCCCATTTTTAGATGTACTCATAACCCGCCGAGAAGATGGGTCAGTAAAACGATCTGTCTACAGAAAGACCACATGGACGGGACAGTACCTAAATTATCATAGTTTCTGTCCACTACAGTATAAGAAGGCGTTGGTTAAATGTTTGTTCAAGCGCATTCACCGTATATGTACTGCCGATACAATTGAAGAAGAAAGACAACACCTCACTGAAATATTGTTAGATAACAATTACCCACTGAGATTTATTAAACGTTACGGAAGTGTCAACCATAGAGCTTTACCAATCCAATCAGCTCCCAAAAAGGATGTTTACATATCCTTGCCGTTCAGAGGTGATCAACAAAGTCTAGTCACTAGACAAAAACTCAAGGCCGCAATTAATAGAACCTATTATGCAGCTAAACTTATCTTCATAGAGAAAACGAGAACTATGCTGTCCTGTAAACCCTCACATTATCCGAACGATAGTGTCACATCCCACTGTGTTTATCAATTTACATGTATGTGTGGAGACACGTACATAGGGAGGACCCATCGGTCTCTGCAGGTTAGGGCTACAGAACATATTCCAAATTGGCTGCAACAACAAATGAAATCGCCAGACACAATTGAACCCGAAAATAGATGTCCAACATCATCTATAGCCAAGCATATTATAGAGACAGGTCATAAGGTTGATCTCAACAATGCCTTTAAGCCTATATATAAAACAAGGTTAGGCCACATACTTAAATTCATTGAAGTCTTAGCTATAAAGAGACTTAAACCTGTCCTATGTGTCCAAAACTCATTTGTTATCACCTTAAACCTGCCTTGGTAATCCAATTTAGAACCAAGGTCCAATTTACTTCATAATATTTTCAACCCTTGTTTTTCTCCTTTTATCTTTCTTACCCACACCTTTTGCGTCTCCCTACCCATTATTTGTGACCTTGACCTGTATACAATCTGACCTGTATTGTAATTATTCATGCCTTCTTTTTGATGTGGTTGTGTTCTCTGAGCTGCGAAGCTTTCGCTGATAAGTTTTCTAATTTTTTTGCTTTATTCTCATCTATTTTCACTTGAGAATTGGTTTCTTAATGAGTCACTTTTATGTTTTGTTTTTTTGATATAGAGAGTGGACACAATAGTATGGAGGATGCTGTTGCGTGTATGAAACTTGTTCATTACAAAGTGAAAGAAGATCTACGCCGTGGAAAGTGGAATTTTTCCTAGTATACCCTTTTTATCATTTGTACACAATCAATGTTTGCATGATTTCTTTGTTGCAAATAATTGTAATTTTAAAATGAAATGAAATAGTTTCTCTTCACGTTTCTCTTTGTTTTTGACTATAATTTCGTTATTAACAATGACAGTTTTGAAGAGGAAAAACAAAACAAAAAATTCACATATCAGATAATTGTACCGACATCTGTGAACTGAATTAGTTTAGTTCTAGCATTTGATGACTTATTAATATTATTTTTTTCTTTTCAGTAACATTCATTGAATTGACGAAATTGTGAATTGAGTGTGACTTATCTTTCTTTTATCTTCACTTATATATTTTTGACGAGCCCTTTGGTTTTATGCTTGGGGTGATGCTTTTATTTCGACTTCAATTTGACTACTGATTTGAATTACTTTAATCATGTCTTACATTGTTTCTCAGTTGAATTAGTTAAATATAAAATTAAATAAACCTTATGGTTCCAGAAAGAAACAGCTTTTTTCATTATAATGATTTATATCATATACAGTTCAACATTACCTTAAGTCATTCAGTCTCTTTAATTAAAGTAATAGTTAGATGAAAAAGTGAACTTCATTATTTGAACACCACGTGGCTTAGAACCGAGATAATAATTGAGTCAATAACTTCACTCAAAAACCTGTCTTTACCTTCGGCGCGAATCTATACTTTTGGTTTAGTCTTTCACAAACTGCACATTTATTATTATTATTCCCTTGAGTTCCGAGTGGAACATACAGATTCAACCACACATCTCCACTTCCTTCTATTTTCTGCTGTCCTCTTCAACTGGCCCCACGATTGACCATCATCTCTCATCTACTCCTCGCACGATCACCTCCATGTCGCCCTCACATCGTCGACCCACTCGTCGTTCTCCACTGGCATTCCACTCGACCGATGACCTGCATTGCCCAATCTATCTCCACTCTCTCCTACATATTTGTTGAGCAATCAGCTCTTGGTTGGTTTGTTCCCGGTCGAAGTTTCTTGTTGCTAATTCTCTCTAGTCGGTTGGCCATTTGATCGTCAGTATGAAACCGGCCAGCAGGGTTAGCTGTTGATAAAGTTCTGCAGTGGCCTGTTGGAAATCCCCTTCATGATTCGCAGTGCCAGTTTCTGACTCATATAGAAGAACTGACTGACTGTCTGACTTCACATTTGTGTTGAAAATCCGAATGTGATTGTTTGTGCTGAGGCGGAGTGCAGTGCAGAAGATTTTCAAACTGATTTCAGGTTGATGAAGGCGTAACCTGCCTTTCCGATTCTGACTGACTGGCTGGCTGGTTTTGATATCTCCATCCGTCCCGACTGTGGTTGGAACTGTGCTTCGTAGTCGGATGAGTGAAGGAAGAAACCTCTGTCAGATCTCTCCCGTTGATGGTGATTGGTGCTGGTTGTTGTTGTTGTCGCTGTTGGTTGGTTATCTTCATCACCTCGGTCTTTTGTTTGTTCACCCGGAGTGCTGTCTTCACTGTCTGCTTCTTCTACCAGTTTGTTGGTTTTCGCCTGCAAGTCTTCGAGTCTGTGTGACATCATTAAACTTAAATCGTCAGCAAAATCCAGTTCCTCTAGAGTCTTCTTGTCGGTGGTCCAGCATGTTCTTGTCTTTTCACTCCCGACACACAGTCAGACGCATAATGCAGTCCACCACAATTAGGAATAACATGGGTGATAATAGGCAGGCAGTCAGCTTTGTCTTACTCCTGCATGCACTTCAAATGCTTCACTGGGTTTTTCCGTTGTGGATCATCTGACACGTGGCATTGTCATATAGCGAGCAGTTGAATGAGGTTGATGAAGATTCGGGCACTGCACGCTATATCGCAAAATAATTATTTTTACGGCTATACGACCTGCTCAGGATAGGTATTATTGTCAATCTCAGATGGGCGTTTAGTTATTCCTTCTGAAGTAGTGGTCGTAACAGCTTCGTAGTTGCCTTTTTTCTATGCCTAGTTCAGTCGTGGTATAGCGGTTAGGACGCTCGCCGACCATGCACATGGTCCGGGGTTCGATCCCCGGCCGACTCACTCTTTCACCTTGCTAAGCCAGAAATAATGCTGGTGAGGACGAAAGGTTGGGCATGAGGCTAGCAACCCCATCCTGTAAAATCAACACTGCTACAGAAACTTCAAGCCACTAGCTTGAAGCCCTTTGTTCCACTGGGGAACGTGAAGGAAAAAAAAAGTTCAGTCGTAGGTGTATAAATGCGGCGATCTCCCATCAACCTGTCCATCTATAGCTTATGGCTGCGTGATCTATTTCTGTTTGGTGATGCAGGTCACCTAGTGAGGTAGTGTCTCTTTTCATGTGCTGACGAGGAACAGATGATTATGTGCATAGGATTGTAAAGAAAAGTTTTGATTGTTTGTTTGTATGCAAGAGACTCCATAGGTGCAACCAGTATACTTTTCTGACTGACCCAGCTTCCTTACTTGAACATTTAGATGTTCTGCTAAAATGACTATATCTGATTGTACTGCTTTTGGCAACAAACTAGGCAGGTTTTGGTGGGACTCATTCTTTACGCCGGTGGTTAAGCGACAGCATACTCGCCAACCAAGCACGTAGGCCATGGTTCGATTCCTCGCCGACGCACTCCTAAACTTCGCTTGGCAAGTCAGGTGGTAAATCCGATAAAGAGGGAAGATCGGGAGTGAGGCTATCGACGTTACCCCGTATAAACAATGCCGGTACTGAAACTCCAAAGTTTGAAGACGCATGTTCCACTAGGAATGCGACTGGCAACATATATACACATAAAACTGAGTCACGTAACCCTGTATTTCCTATGATCCGATTACTTGAGTCCGTGATTCAACAGAATTTTCTGAATATCTGTAGTGACTACGTCAATAAGTCCTCGTATTCACCGTATATGTGAAATGTGAGATAATTTTATGTGAATGTTTATATTAGTAAGTCACTGGAGAGTAATGAATGTCTCGTCATGTTTCTAGTTCTTCGTCAGTCACGCTTTTAATATGGTCACCAGCCTGGATAACAGTGACTACATCCTAGTGACCAATTGATTTATTAGTAACACTTCTACATAAAGTTAGTGGTGAGCCGGAATAACTTACCCGTAACTTCTTTGATCGCAGCAGTGAGTATGGTGGTTTCGAATCTTATAGGGGAAGTCGGTCTCTTCCTGACGAGTAACAACATTCACGAAACCTAGCTAGGCCCAGGGATTCCTGTCGAATGCTTTTAATCACCTAACGTCAAAGCAATGTCTTCCTCCCTGCGATTTTTACTGGCCCATTCGAAACCATAGTTCACTTGCTAACGTTTCCCTTAGAAAAAACATTATTTTTTTACACCTAACATTGTTGATAATTCATGGTGTAAACATCTAGTGGTAGAAAATGCCTGTCTCCTCGTGGGAGTTAGCGATAGTCTATCTCAAAATGTTTTGTAAAATTTCTAGATATTACCTAAGTTTTGAAATTTTCACACAACTCAGTCGCTATCTCTTGCTGAAAGAACATGGAATGTTTAACCTGAATGATAATGGTATCGACTGTATTACAAACACTACGTTTGGTACAACGTGGAATTTTCAGCGTTCAGTGCAATATTGCATCTCATTTTCTATTTACATTTACATAGTACATGGTAAAAATAATTAACAGGGCATTTACAATGACAATAATGTCAATAAAGAATGTAAATATGAACTAAAAATTTGAAGTTAACAGTAACAACAATGTATTAATGATGGGAAGAATAAAAGGGGCCATATTTATCATTGATATAAGTATAAAACTTAGGCACTGTGGTACAGTATAACTTCAATTATGGATAAAATTTTATTTTGATAAAATCACACATCGTTATACAGTAATATTAACTGATGACGTTTCGAGCACAAATTATTGCTCATAATCATATCACACAACTTTATTGCTTCATTTATATACATGAGTGAAAATTGATTAGACATTTGAATAAAATCAATATGAGATAAAGTACATCAATAAAATACAATAAGATGTTTTTATAGTAAAATAAATAACTTGTTAGAATGTTATAATGCGAACTGAATACATTTCAACATTATATATTATCCTTTGATTTGACTGATAACGTCTTCCTTAACTCTGGTATTTGCGTTGAGTCACTTCTACTGTATGTGTTGGGTGTAGACTAGATGAACCAGGATTCTGTAATCACTCTCTCTCCACCTACCTATATTACCTTTTAGAATTTTAACTCTGTTCCACTCTATTTCGTGGTTGTGTGTTAATGCATGCAGTGCAATTGCTGAGCTTTTTTTTCGTCTACGAGTTCGTCTTCTACAGACAGCTGAAGCAATCGGAATCCACCAGAAGAAACCAAGCCTATGTGTACAGAAGAAATTTGTACAGCCACTTTCCTTACCGTGGCCATCGTTACAAGACAGGACTACGTCGCCCCCCTCCCCCTAAACCTATTAAATTATAATTGTCCAAATTATTTTATTTTTATTGTGACCACTTCATCTTTAATTACGTGTTATCCTTGTGAAATTAATTTATTCTATCTATTTCTACCTTTTAAATTTGTATTGATTTTCTTCGTTAATTATCAACCCATTGACATTTTGAAACTTTAATTATTGTTAAGAAACATATCACCACTTGTTTGGTAAATTGTTGTGTATTGTAAAAATGCTATATATATATTAGAGTAGAGCCAGAGAAGAGGATCTAATTGAAAAGTAAATATTTCTTCGCTCAATCTTTCTGTTTTCCAAATACAAGAATTAGCAAACTGTAAAAGTAGAGACCGAGTGGTACCAGATTTTCCTAACTTCCTTGCTCAGAAGATTAAGTGAAATACTTTTTTATAAATTAACATGATGTAAGAAGAACATAGACAAGACGGTGGTTATGATAATAACCAACCAACAACAGCAGCAGCAACATCCAGTGCCAATCACCATCAACGAGAGGGATTTGAAAGCGGTTACTTCTTTCACTTATCTAGGGAGCATTGTCTCAACTACAGGAGGAACGGACGAGGATGTCAAATCGAGAATCGGGAAGGCGAGAAACACATTCATCAATCTGAAACCAATCTAGAAATCTTAGTCACTCAGCCTGCATCAACAACAAAATTCGGATTCTCAATACAAACGTCAAGTCAGTCAGTTCTTCTATACGGATCAGAAACTTGGCGGGTCACAGAGAATACTTCCAACAGCCTGTTGCAGACCTTTATCAACAGCTGTCTTCGTTCTATACTCAAGATCAGATGGCCGGAAAGAATCACCAACAAGAAACTATGGGAACAAACAAACAAAACAAGAACCAATCGCCCAACAAATATGCAGGAGAAAATGGAGATGGATTGGACACTCGTTGAGGAGGCCGCTGGGTGACATCGCGCGTCAGGCCAGTGCTCGAGTGGAACCCGAAAGGGAAGCGGCGAGTGGGACGTCCAAGGGTGACATGGAGGAGATCGTGTGAAGAAGAGTTGAAACAGTATGGACTAACATGGATGCAGGTGAAAAGTACAGCAGAAGACAGAAACAAGTGGAGACGTGCAGTTGAAGCCCTTTGTTCCACTAGGAAC